ATCCAATCTCAACTTATGATCTTTTAATTGGTAGTCAGCATTATCATCGCTACAGCTCTGAACTGACTTCTTCTTTCCTTTTTCCATGTCTAAACAGCTTGCTCTCGTATGACCATACGCTTGACACTCGTAGCACTATAGCGGGATCCTTCGCTTGACAGTTGGACAATCCAATTTGGAGTGACCAATCCCTTTACATTGAGCACATACTTTGTCAGATCTCTGTGCCTTTCCATTCTTGACTATTTGCTCCATCTTACAACCAAGCCCCTCAGCCTAAGTCGTCTTGAGTGACAACACAACACATTCCCTAACATAGCCAGTTTTCATCTTCTTTAGCTACAGTTCAAATGCTTGTAACATGCCAGCTAGCTGTTCAAAGTTCATCATCTCATAGTTTGCAGATGCCTGAATGTATGACTTGTGAGGCTGAAATTTTATAGGCAGACTGCTCACAAGTTTCTCCATCAGCTTGTCTGTATGTGTTTCCCAGTACCTTTGCTTCATCAGCTGAAGTCATCAACTGATTCATCCTCTTTCATTCCAAGGGTCATAGAACCAGTGTTTATCAAACAGAAGCAAAAATAGATCGTTTTTCTTCATAGAATCAGTGTTTTCACGTCCGATCCGAACCGTCCAGTCCAACCGGTTAACCCATGACCTGGATACTTCTCCAATTTGGGTTTAGTGCTAATATTCGGCAATTTTAAAACCAGTTTAAACCCACAAAAACCCGGCACTAACCCGCGACCCGGTGTACCGGTTGAAGCGGTCGGGCTAGGGTTTAACAAAATCCATATGATTTTGGTATTTTGGAATAAAATATAGGGAAAAAACTAGTTTGACCGAGAAATAAGGTTTAATTACTAAAATAACTCATAAAATATATGGGTTAATCTAGTTATTTTCATGATCAAAATACCCCTTGTCTCTTTGTTAGGAAAAAAAAAAAGTCAATATTACCATTTAATTTTTTTTGGAAACGTGGGTGAAATTTTTTCGAAAAAAACAAATCTGCCGTGAAAAGTCTGTGGGCGTCGTTGTGACAGATTTATTTTTCCCGACAGATTAATGGTCTACAACAGATTTTCTGCGATAATTTTTTTCCTCCCACAGACTTATTTGAATATGGTTACGACAGATATTAATTTGTAGCAGATTTTTTTCCTTTGCCAGACTTATTTTAAGATGACACCTCAGACTTTCGAAATTTGGACACTTTTATTATAATGTGTAGCAGATTTTTGTTTCTAGTGGCGTGAGACTTATATTTTTCGGAAAAAAATCTGTCATAATGCAGCAGATTTGTTAATAAAAAAAATAATTACTAGTTTGACTTTTTAGTGTTGACAAGTTTGTTTTACGTTATGACATATTTTTTAATATTAAAAAAAATCTAGAATGTTATAACAAATTTGTATTAAAATTGTTAGAATTACATATAGTCGCAACCGATATGTTTAACTTTTTGACAGATTTGTTTTGTGCTATGTCAGATTTATCTTTAATTTACCAAAATCAACAAATTTTTTCGTTATGACAGATTTTTATTTTATTATGGCAGGTTTCTAATTTTTATTTGAAGTCGAATTTTATCACGACAAGATTTTATTTGGTAATTTTTTAAAAAAAATCTGCAAAATTAGGATACGGAAGACTTAATTTTAACGTAACAGACTTGTTAAAATTAACTGCCATATTTGATTTTAATTATAAAAAACGAATTTGGTTTTTATTTTTTTAAGGAAATGGCATAATGAAAGGTTAAATAGTTTTCTAACGTAAAATTTGGGTTAGTCTAGTTATCCATTTGGATTGAGAGTCATTCTAGTTATTTTTGCTAAGTTTTGACTCAAACTGGGTAAATTTCACTAAAATATAAGGTTTTAGGCTTTTAGTGTATTCATTATTCAATTAGTTTTAGAACTTTTTCAGTTTCTCGATTTTTCTCAAACGGTTTTAGTTGGATTTTAAAAATTTAATCACTTTATTATTATGGATAGACTTTATATTTTGTTAAACACAGTATGATTATTACTATTTTTATATTTATAAAACTATATAATCTCTATAAATATTAAATACATTAAATAAAGTTGAATCAATTGATTTCTGGTCGAATTCGGTTGATCCAGTAACCGGTGATTTAGAAAGTAATCTGGTTTACCGTTCGTGTCGAGTTTAAAAACATTGCATAGAAGAAGTGCTGGATTAAACTGATAATAATTTTTTTTTTAAATAATTTTTTTCTTTCCATAAACTAAACTTTTTTTTTTTTTACTTGAATACCGCCCTCAATTAATGTAAAAGATATTGCAATGCCCCATATATTGTAGGAAAATAAAATCTTGTAGGAAAATAATTAATTAATAAGATTAAAAAAAAAAAAAAACCCATGTACTTTTAGTACTCGTTTCTTACCAAAAACAAAGTAAAAAATTTGTTTACATGTGGATTTGTTACGATTTCATGTAAGATTTTATCCGATTTATAAGATTTTTCTTTTTAAGAAAATATGAACCTGATTTTGGAATGCTTTAGTTAAACAATTTTTCGATGTCGCGGGGGAAAAGATTTCAAAACATTTTAAAGAAAAAAATATCAAACGTAATGTCATAATAAATTGAGACAACAATTTTCAAAACAATTTATTTTAACAATAAATAAAGATGTATTTTACAAAAAAAAATATGATAGAAAGACTTAAACCCTCAAAATGTTTTAAGATTTGTATTATTATTAGAAAATATTATGGTGAAAATATGCGATCATAAATAAATAATATTAAACAAAAAGTTATAATGAGTAGATGCAATTTTTAATTTTAAATATAACTATATAAATATATTCATCAAAATATTACGATAAAAAGACGTAATATTTGAAATTGTATTATGTTAAAAAGAGACAATCTTCGAAAAATTTAACAAATAACCAAAATAGATAATTATTCAGAATACAAAAATGATATAGATAACAAAGTATATACATGAATGCTAAATAGCAAAAAATATATCTTTCTATGAAAAATATCAAACAAAAAGAAATAATAAATTTACACCACTTTTTATTAATATATATATATTTATATATAGAGTTAAAAAGACATGAAAGTTTAAATATAAAAAATTGTTTGTAAAAGCCACAATTAATGTAACCAAGTGTTTGTGATGAAAAACAAGAATAAAACATGGTGACAAGATAATAATCTAAATGAACAGATATAACTTTAGATAATGTTTTGTTCAAAAAAAAATTTAGTTAATGCTCTCAAAAATGTATTACAAAGGTAATGTTGCAACAGTTCATCAAATATACCTAAAGTTGTAATAATTCATCAAATAAACTAAAGTTGCAATGGTTCATCAAATATATCAAATATTGTAACGGTTCATCAAATAAACCAAAGGTTACAACGGTTCATCAGATAAGCCAAAATGTTCATTAGTTCGTCAAATAAACCAAATGTTACTATGTTCTACTAAACGGTAGCAACATATTTATTTAAATAGTAATTAAAATTAAAAATTTGATGAAGAACTATAACCGAAAGACGCAGCCGTAGATATCATATATAGTAAAGGTTGCAATCGTTTGTCAAATATACCAAATGTTGCAACAGTTAGTCAAATAAACTAAAGATTACAACGATTCATAAAACAAAACGAAAAGTTGCAATATTTTGAAAACAAAGAGAATAACCATTGGACATGGTGAGATGCCAAACTTTAAACTTCAAAACTATGATGATGTAATGACTACACAGCTGTTTACCATACAAAAACAAAAATAGATCGTTTTTATTCATAGAACAAGTACGGGATCAAATTGATAACATTTTTAAAATATAATTTTCTTCGTTCTATAAACGAAACTTAAAATTTTTTTTTTACTTGAATGCCGCCCTCAATTAATATATGTAAAATATATTACAATGCCACATATTTTGTAAAAAAATAATATCTCATAGAAAACTAATAATTCCATGTACTTATTAGTTTTCTTAAACGAACCAATCGTTACGCGTTTCAGGATATATGAGGTTTTTTCAGGATTCCTAAAATAATAAATATCATCATTCATATATAATTTTCACCATAATATATCAAATACACCCCCGCTACGCGGGGGTTAATAACCTAGTTAATGTAAAAGATATTGCAATGCTCCATATATTGTAGGAAAAGAAAATCTTGTAAGAAAATAATTAATTAATAAGATTAAAAAAAAAATCCATGTACTTTATAATTGAATTTAAAAGAATTCAAATGAATAGAAAAATAAAAGATTTTAATGTATTTGACAGATTCTATCCAAATCACACCATAATAGGTGGGATTTGTTTCTTCACGTTTTTGTCTTTGATTTCTTTTAAATTCTAATCAAATCACATTGCCATTAAAACAATCTTAATACTGAATAACAATAGAATTTAACAGAATTCTAAAACCAACAAATTGAATAACAGTAGAATTTAATAGAATTCTAAAACCAATCAATTGAATAACACTGGATTTAAATAGAATTCTAAATTCTTTCATATTCAATTAAAATCCTATGTTCAATAACCCCCCCTAAGTACTCGTTTCTTACAAAAACAAAGTAAAAAATTTGTTTACATGTGGATTTGTTACGATTTCATGTAAGATTTTATCCGATTTATAAGATTGTTCTTTTTAAGAAAATATGAACCTGATGTTGGAATGCTTTAGTTAAACAATTTTTCGTTAAAAAAAAAAAATTGTTCATATGGTGTCTTATCTAATCACGGCCGTTGGATTAATGCGATATTTTAACTCATATTTTAATTGAACATTCACATAAATTTATTGGATTGGACGATCCTAATATTTTATTTGATGAAACAACCAAATCCAAATCCAAATCCAAATCCAGATCCATCCATGTGATTAGATAGAGTTTCCGATACGCAACTCAAGTTTCCTTTTTGCTAAGCACCGCTTACGAGCCCTATATATATACTATCTTTCTCATTATCTCTTTCATATTTCGATTTCAACATACACTGAAACCCTAGCCACATGATGATCAAGAACGAAGAGAAGATGAGAGTAAGGATTGCGAAGGAGAGATCTGACTTATGCGACTTGACTGCTGCTGCAATTAAGGCTACTTACAACACACGGAACCCATGCGAAGTCGAGAGATGCATCGATGTGTTGAAGCACTTGAAGTCTCTGTCTCTTTCCGCGAAGGATATAGAATTGTCTGAATCAATAGTTAAGCTGGATCCTTTGAGAAGCCATAGGAACCCTAGGATCCGTAAGGAAGCTCAAGCCTTGTTTCATTCATGGTTGAAGACATTCTACACAAACGGAAGCGACAACTCTTTCGATGTTACCAAGGCTCGTTTGAAGACGAAGAAGCATGTTCTAACAAGGTGTTCGGAGTTGAAGAAGAAGAAAGAAGATGAGAGATCATTAACTCGTGAAACAGAGAAGATTCAAGCAAGGAACAGCTTTTTGGCGTTTGAAGCAGAAAGAGGATCATAAAGCTAAGGCTTGTGACGAGAAATATGTTAAGGAAGAGACAAAGACCAATCTAAAGCCGCTCAACGTGAAGACAAGACGTGTCGCTTTGGAGGATGTTACGACGAAGAAGCCACGTGAAGATGTTACATGCATACTAAGTTCTGGTGCATGTATAAAGAAGACTATAACAGATAAAAAGGAGCTGAAGAACAAGAAAGTGGACGAGATGGTGAAGTTGTTCGAAGAAGCAAAGAAAGCTGCTGATGTGGCCAACGCTAAGGGCGTTCTCTCAGGTAAAGCAGAGGCGTCTCGCTGCGTTGAGGCTCTCTCGTTACTGATGAACATCAATATTACTCCAAAACCAAAAGAACCAAGGAGGATGATGGATAAGCTTGAGGGACTTACAAAACATAAAGACCGCAAGATTTGCCATGCTGCATCAGCCCTTCTTCACCTTTGGAGACAGAGGATCAGAGAACAAGAACGTAAAGAGTCATCTACCAAGACGTTTCCTAACAACTTTCGTAAATCTCATTAGATATGTCATTTGTACGCATTGTATTGTTGAGTGATGAGCAAGTATACTAGTGGATTTCCGGGATGTTAATTACATCATCCCGGCGAGATGTAGGGTTCCACATTGGAACCTGAACTCGTAAAACTCTTTGTGTCTTTTACTTTTCTCTGCTTTTTTTTTTGTTACACACGAGAGAGATCGAGAGAGAAAGAAGTCGAGAACTAATCATGATGAGTATCTTAATTAGTGCAATAATGTTGTGGCGAATCTTAATTCTCAAAATGTTTGAATACATATTGTATCGCCGTGAAAAGTTAAGAGGTTAAGAGTAAAAGATATTAGGGCTTACTTGTATGAGAGGAATTGAAATCGCCATGAAGAATTGGAACATGAACACAATGTCAACTTGTGTTCTATGTAACTCTCACTTGGAGACAAGAGATCACCTGTTCTTCACGTGTGGTTACTCGTCAGAAATTTGGAATAAGCTAATGCAGCACCTACTTCACAGCCACTTCTCCGTGGACTGGCGGGAAGTAGTCACCTGCATAACAAACTCTCCGTTGGATAAAATCCACACCTTCCTGGTACGTCACGGTTTTCAGATAGCAGTCCACTCGATATGGAGAGAGCGAAACGGGAGGAGACATGGCGAGAAACAAACTCCAGCAAGTCAGCTAGCCATATGGATTGACAAGCAGATTCGAAACAAGCTATCCGCGATACGGGCTGCGGGCGATCACAGATACAACTCAGGCTTACAAGCTTGGTTTGCATCTAGACTCTAAGGACAATCTCTTGTATTCTCAGTCTTCAAATTTCTCTGCTTTAGAAGTCTAACAATGTACTAGCAAACGTTATTTTTTTCTTGAATTTAATTTAACATTTTATTCAAAAAAAAAAAAAAAAAAAAAAGAAATCGCCATGAAGAAAAGGGGAAGGACGTCTAAGAAACCAGAAGAAAAAGAGATGAATACTACCCGTGTTTGCTTATTCCTCTGGAACTGAAATTAGAGATTCTCATGAAGTTGCCGCCGAAATCCATAGCGAAGCTAGGTTTTGTTTCAAATCATGTTTTGAAAATTGTTATTAAAAAATTATGTTAATTAATTTTGGAGAGAAAAAAGTGTTTTGTGTTGGCTAGACGGATCTTCATCGATTGATTCGTAAGTCATAAATAACATGAGAAGTTTCATCCATACATCGTTAAATTAGCCCGGATTAGCTCCTTGTGAAACAAAATAGAAAATACTTTACCAAGAAAAAAGCTATAGTTTAACTAAAACCAAATGTAACCACACCAACAAAAATTGAAAACAACGAAACGAAATAACACAAACATTCGATATATATAAAAAATAAAAAAAAACATTCGATATATATATATATATATATATATATATAATATATTAAAAACAAAAACATGCGACTAGTACTTTCTATTTTTAATATTTTTTTATCAAAGTTTTTGTAAGAAAAAAGAAAATCTTAATGCATGTAGTTTTTATAAAACCAAAATCTTAATGTAGATTTTTTAAGAAAAAAGTAAAGGTATTGAAACACAATTAGTTTATTAAAGCAACGGTTTTATTTATGCTCGTGGCCCAAATTTAATCAAAATCGAATTGATGTATAAATCGAAGACTTTCCTAAATGTTTTTTGTTTCTTATCCTAATTTCAAATTGAAACTCTAAACGAGCTCCAACGTTCAACTTCTTCCTATCAGTTGAAAATGATCCATCATTGGGCTTTAAGAAATTCTCAATCTATTTTTTTCGATTGATCCGAACACATAATCTATCTTTAGGTTCGCTGCTCTATGATGCTTCTTCTTTCTCTGTAAATAGTATAAATATTATTGGAAATCAAATTTCATGAGATTCTCAAAGCTTGTTGCTTGTTCGTTTCTTATCATATTCACAAGAACCGCGCAAGGTAAAAGCGAATTGCAATCCTCTCAATTGAACATTGATCAGGATTAGGACCAAAGTCTCCATCTGTTTTTTGTAGTATATTTTTTTCAATTTGGTCTATTGCAAGTCTTGCTAAATCTTAATATATTTTTCGTAATTTGTTTCTTCTTGTTTGATCCAAACATAGAATCAATCTCTAGGTTCAGTGATATCTGATGATTCTTTTACCATATTTTCATTGTCCACTTTACTCCATATTTGCACTTTCACTTTGTAAAGAATAAAGTGTTTGGATGAATATAAAATATATTGACTCTTCTTCCATAATCTTTATATTTTCTTTTGTAATCTTATTTATACTCTTTTTAGCATGAATTCATATATGATCCATATCTAAGTATATACTTGTTTGACTGTCTATTCGAGATTTCGTGAGCACCATTGGTGTTGATAAAATAAATAAACAAAACAACATAGTCAAATAAAATTAAAAGAATGCAGTAGATGAGTTAAAAGACGGAAGGAAAAGAGATAAATCCAATGACTCACCTCGTGCATACAACAATCCTAGTATTGTAAACCAACAAATCAGTCTAGAGACTACTATTTGTAAAAGGAGAATAAAAAGATCCAAAAACTTGCGCTTTAAAAGCACCTTTGTAGTACTCCACAACATCAGAAAAACAATCACGGTCCACAATGAAAAACCGGTTGGCATTCTCCGCGGTTGACGTTATGGCATCTATCTTAGAAACACTAGAGACAAATGGGCGGAGAGAAGGAAAATATAAATCAATTCGATATGTCGATTATTGGTGGTGTTAAAAAATAATAAAATGAGGATTTAAGCCATATTGAAGCGGCGGGTTGATGATATCTTAAACTTTTTTTTATTAATGTTGATTCATACCATGCCCGCCATATAACCACGTCTCGCAATATAATCCGTCCCGTGTTATTTTTTTATATGTTCAAATATTCATAATATTATAAATTTTTTTATTGATTTTCAATATATTTGTTATAATATTTAAAGTTTAAAGTTTACTAAACCCGGTAAAATTAAACAGTTTAACTAAAAAAATCCGAATTATACCGTATTACAAACTTTTAAATTTGGATGTTTGTTAAGTTAAGCTTCATGCCCATTCCGATTTGGATTTATTCTAATACTATTTATAATATGACTCTTAATCATTGTCTAAACATTTTAGCCGATGTGGGACGTTGAACACACATTTTTTTCATTAATTGAGTAAGATATGTCTGTTTTTTAAATTTTGAATCACTTTACGAACATAAACTTTATGTATTATTATATGATAATTCAAATCAATTAAAAAAAATCAAACAAAAATGATAGAGAAATCATAATTTTAATCTTAACCAAATATTCTAAATATCTATATTATTAATTGTGAAACATTATATGAATATTTTTTATTTTATAATTAATGTTAAAAATCTTTTAACTATGTTTGGTTATAGGCCTGGGCATTCGGGTACCCGTTCGGGTTCGGTTCTTTTTTTTCGGGTATCGGGTCTATTCGGGTAGGGGGTCGAGACCCATTCGGGTATTCTAAAAATTCGGTTCGGGTTCGGTTCGGGTTCGGGTCTGTTCGGGTATTTTAATAAAAAAGCAAAATACCTGAAAATAACCAAAAATACCCGAAATATTTTCGGGTTCGGGTCAGGTTCGGTTTTTTTACTCGTATATACCCAAATCTAACCGAAATACCCGATTTCTTAAAAATACATTGGTTACTCTTTGCCCAAATATAACCAAAAATATTTAAAAATACTAAAATTACCCAAAAGAAAACTACATCATTAGTTACTTTTTAACCAAATATATCCAAATGTATCCAAATTACTCAAATAACCTAGTATATTCGGATTTATGATTGTAATTTTAGGTATTTCGGATATTATAAGTATAAATATAACTAATATTTTTAAGTGTATATTTGTATTCGGGTACCCACGGGTATTGGATTCGGTTCGGGTTCGGTTCGGATTTTTTTCGGGTAGGAGGTCTAGGATCCATTCAGGTATTTTAAAAAATCGGTTCGGGTTCGGTTCGGATATTTTTTCGGGTTTTTCGGTTCGGGTATTCGGTTCCGGGTATTTTGCCCAGGCCTATTTGGTTATATATATAGTAGAGAATTAATGATAAAGTTGTTTGGATACATGATATAAGTGATGACATTTGTTGTAATAAGTGATGACATTTCTTGCATATTTGTTTTAATATAAACTTTTTAGTATGTATAGTTTATAAAAAATATTTTTCTTAAAATAACGCTTTTTATAATATAAATATTTCAGCCGCACCGCCTGATCTGCTTTTACTATTCAACACATATTTAAAAGCGTTCGAATCGCTTGATCCGCATTTGTACCGCTAGATCTATTTGATCCGCTTTTATTCTGCTTGATGTGTTTGATCCGTTCCGCCCGATACGCTTTCTCAATTAAGAGCGGTAGCTATTTTGTTTCGTTGACATGAAACATGGGAACAACAAAACTCCTTGGAAGTCCAACGAAAAAATAATTTTAAAAAAAAACTCGTTGGAAGTCCAAAGTCCAAACTAGGCCTGGGATAAAAAACCGGACCGGTTTAGCCGAACCGAACCAAACCGGTTTTGGGGCAATCGGTTGTTGAGAAGAAACCAATCGGAGGAGAAATTAATTTTAATCGGTTTTTGCATCGGTTCGGTTCGGTTTAGGCACAACCGATCGGTAAACCGAACCGCAGTTAGACCTAGGTATATAAGGCTAAGACTAAACTAATCCTCATCTGTTGACATTTGGACCTCTTCACACTCTTTGAGGTCAGCTCCCTCTTTCTCTCATGTATCTCTGCTTTACATCTCTTGCTTAGAATGGAAAACAAGAACACGTTTTCACTTTAAATGTCTACATTGATAATATTAGATCACATGGATAATTCTTACAAGACACAACACACACATACTTATACTACATCTTCTACTTGGACCTCACATGAACCCATACTTTATACCATACTTCTAGATCCTAGGTTCTTACACAAGCCATACTCCTAAACACTAGGTTAACTATTGACCTTACTTCTAGATAGAAGTCATACAAGCAACGTTTAACAACTCTCTTAGACTCTAACCACTCCTACTAACACTTCTAATCTAACTAAGGCTTACAACCACTCCCTTAGCTAAACAACCATTTAGACAAAACATACTTGACTAGTTTGGGCCTTTTTCACTTGTAGGCCCATCATACCAAACACAAAACCACTAAGCCCAACATCATTGTTGACTTGTCTTTTCTCGTTAGACTCCTTCCTCTTCTCTTCGACGACATATCTTCTTCGTTGTGCTTCTTCTCTTTCCTTCAGCTTCTTCTCACTGATTCCTTTTTCTTTGTTGCAGGATTTAATCAAGGATCCAAACTCCAACATCATCACTCTCTCTATCTCACCCGACCTAGACTAAAACCGAACCTAATCCTCTCTAGTCTCTATCGTAAATCTCACCGGAGCTCTCTACGTTGCATCTCTCCGGCGCATCTCCGTCGTGTTTCTCCATATCTAAGGTTAGTTAATTACCGTCGCATCACTGTCGCATCTCTCTGTTTGCTTACATAGCCATTTTACAATTTGGGGGTTAGGGTTTTGGTTTTGGATGCCTATCTAACCATTAATTGTTGTTTTCTTGTTTTGCTATTTCTCTAATAACAACAATGTATGATTAAGAAATTTCTTAACCCTATGTGCTTAGTCTGATTATCCGAGAGAAATAGAATTACTTTATTGTTTTGTCTTCACTATCTCCTCCTACCCATCAGAAGTTTAGTACATTTTCAGTTTTAAGATTCAAATCTATGAGATATCGAGAGAATTTACCTTTTAGAACCGAAACCACATGGAACAAAGAGTACCGCTTGTGACAGTTACTACAGAGTCACCCACTGTGCCGTTTATTGATTTGGAACAAAAACTGCTTGGCTTCGATTTTGATGTTTAGACAGAGATTTGAGTCTTAGCCTCTTAGGGTTTGAGTTTGATTTTCAATTTCAGATTTAATGGCATCGGTACGAGCAAATTAAGTATGGACATTACTTCATCTCTTTTGTTTGATATTTGATATTCAGAGTTTAACCTGTTTATGATGACTTGATGATGTTTAAGGTTTATTTTGAATGCAAGCTTCTTGTTAATCTCAATTTGAATTGATCAGATGATGTTTTTGTGTATTTTGATTGATATATACTCAGAAAATGCATGTAGTAACCGGAAATAACCGAATTAATCGGTTAGTTTCGATAAGATTTCAGAAACCGGAAAAACCGAATATCGAACCGACCCGAACCGTAATTAATTTCGGATAGTTTCGACAAGATTTACAATAACCGAACAAACCGGAAAACCGAAAAAACCGCACCGAACCGGACCGAGAAACCGAACTCGCAGGCCTACTCCAAACCAAAGATAACCTTTCCCTATTTATCGAATTTGTCCCAAATTGAACCCAAACCGAATAATATATTTGGTTTAATACGGTTCACTCGAACCGGCATATCCAGTTTTCATAGAGAGGGTTTACGGAGGTTTTGTTGGAATTGCAGAAGCAGTAGAAGAAAGAATCGGAGAAAATGGCTGCAATTGGGATCGCTTCTAGGTCTACTACATTCATGAGATCCATCCATAGAACCGCTGCTACACGAAATTTGATTTCATCCAGAGCTAAACCCTCCGTCCCAAACCCTAATTTCACTTCCCCGCGCTTCAACACTTCTTCTCGCATCGAAGGCTCTGTTCCCAGGTAAAACTTCCTTCATCCTCTTTCGATGTAAATCTGCTTGATTTGTGTTAGTTGTTAGATGTTTGTGATGCCCTTGATTGAAACTTTCGATTTTTGATTTGGAATCTAAAAGGTTTCTACGGAGAGAATTAAGCACACAACAACCATTTCACAGCACCGTTGCTGCTGCTTGTCTCGTTTCGAAACTTCCTTCTGATGTCACTTCTTATGAAGGTAAGTAAATACCAAAACTTGCTTTGGATTAGTTTATTGTGTTCGTTGGGTTTGGGTTAGCTACTCTTTAGTTATTGAGTTCCTGCAAATCAAATCTCTTTTGTTGCATTTTGGTAAAAAAGATGCAATTGTGGATGTGATGGGGTGTTTTGAGTTTCTTTAGGATGTGGTTTAGATCATTGAAAGATACCCAATATCCTTATTTTAGCATCTCCTGAACCTTGGTTGTGGAAAGATTCATGCTTTACACATTGCTCCTTTAGATTCATACTAACAACTTTCGATCTTTGATGACATTGATAACAGGTAGATTTGCAAACTATCTCAGTCCTATCTAGTACCAGCACTTGAAGTAGATGGATGGCTTAACATCCCGGGGATTGTTTTGCGCTAAGTTTGATGTTTTCAAGGATATTCAGGTTCTTAAGTTCAATCTGTCAACCGTATTTGCAATCTCTCAGACTCAGTTTAGATTACATTTTTTGGCAGATGTTACTACTTCCATTTAGTTTTACTTGGGTTTGTATCTTATTAATCAAATGATGATTCAACCATAGTTATTGTCAGAATGTAAGATAAGTTCTCCCGGATTCATCTACTCTTTTGAATTAGAGAACAAGATCGTTTGCGCGGGACAAGACCTTTACGTTTCTATCTATTTCATTATGTTCCTTGACCTTGTTTTTGATTCAAATAATGGAAGTGTTTAAGCTTCTGCGCATCTATGTTAAGTAGTTTCATAGAGATTCTTAATAAAGAACAATCAATAGAAGGCTCCTAGTAGAATTCATATATCATGGAAATATGTGTGCCTGGCTTTATAAGTCCTGTTCTCAAAATAGCTCCACTTTGCTGTTCGTTTCCAAGGCATGAACATAGTTAGGAAACTGTGAGTTTTGGTACTTCTTGAAGGAAAACCATAAGGACAAAACAGAGTTTTGTATGTTTATTTTTCTCTAATGACTCTTGTGATTGCGTGTATCGTGTCATTGCGTGTATAGTGTCCTTGCGTGTATCGTTTATCTGGTCTGTCCATCCATGAGAAGACATCGATATGTTCTTGGCTTCATCTCTCTTCAAGTAGGCATGAGTAGAGAGATTTTCCAAATGATTTGTTGAGAGAGACTTGAAACCAGCCATATTACCACACAAAACGTTTTTAAGACATGAAAGTAGGTATATTCGTATGGGTTGTTGAAGAAAGTTACAAAAACTAGATACACAATGATGATGATTTTGCAGGCTCTAGTTTTGGTATGAGTCTTCCACAATATTAATATGGAAGTTTCTTTGGGGACCCAATTTGATACCAAAAACAAGAAGAAGAGTCTTTGTTATGATTATTGAATGGTCATTGTTTTGGCTTTGTTGCCCCCATGTGGTTTTGCCTTAAAGCACTTCAGTTCGTTTTCTTTTTTTTGTTGCCATTTTCTACATACCAAGCCAAAGAAACAGCTTCTCTTCTTCTGTTTTTTATTTTCCACTTTGGCCAAAAACTTAGAGAATCGTCGAAACAAATGTTTTAGAAACAAATCATTTAATGTGGAAATGTTTTAGATCAATGCCTTGATTGTTTCTCACGAAATTTTTTAGTTTGTGTTTGTGTTTACCTGATATTTTTAATTTTAAAAAAGATTTAGAATTTTTAAAATTAAAAAAAAAAAACATTTGAGTTTCTTTCACATTGTTTTGTAAAATTTTCTGTAAGTTCTTAGAGCATCTCCAACCCACCTCTATATTTGCTTCTAAACTCTATTTTAGAGGCAAATTTACTCCAACCCACCTCTATTCTCACCTCTAAAATAGAGATCTCTATTTTTTTCTCTATATATAGAGGTGAGAATAGAGAATCTCTATTTTTTCCTCTATAAATAGAGTTAAACTTTTTAGAAGAATAAATAGAGGAATATATTGGAGTAAAAATAGAGAAAACTCACCTCTATTATAGAGATAAAGGTAAAAATAGAGAAATACATTGGAGATGGTCTAATATGTTCGAGATTTAGGTTCTTATTGATTAGGATGCTAACCGTAGAATTTTAGCCGTAGCTTTAAATATATTGCTATGGTAAAAAAACAAAATAAATAGAAAAACTAGCTACAACATAAAATAATGATAACGAAAACGAAATATGAACAAACAAAGAAAATATGGTCGTAGAGGTTATGAAGTTTTAGAGGACCAATCTTAAACTTAATTGGTAAATAAAAATATTTTATGTAAATTAAAGCTCTAGGAAAACTCTAAAACTCTAGTCATTGGAGTTCTATAATTACATATTGAAGGATGGATTTTATAATTGTAGATATTGTTAATTCCGTTGATATTAACGATAAATTGTTTTTCTTTTTGATGTTAGTAACTTGTTACGTGTGATGATGTAATATGAATAAAAATGTGCAAGACATCATTGAGAAAGTTAATTTTTTGGGTTATACCAATTTAGAAAATTAAAACAGAGATTATGATAAACGTTATAAAGTAATGGAGAAATAAACAGTTGTTTAATTTGTAGAAAAATACCAAAATCTGAATAGTGTAATTTTCATGTGGGTGTGTCTGTTAAGTGCTTCCACCAAACTTCGTGTTTCCGACCTAAATATATAAAAAAGATTTTGACAAAATCACTTTGTAATATTAATTTTCGTAATGTCAACTTTGTCTCATGAGAAAGTGATTAGCTAACAAACTTTCAACAAACCCTACAAATCTATTTTCTCATATGTACACATGTCTGACAAATGACAAATCATCAATTTAATATTTTTCTTATATCATACTAAGACACTAGTGCTTTTCATTTTTGTATTGATTAAAAAGATAAATTCTGGTTATTATTATTAATTGCTCCTAATCTCTGAGTCTGAGAGGTAGTTGTACATATAAGACTAATGACAACAAAGCAGCTTATAATAAATCAAAATCCTCACATTTTGGTACCTCAAATTCAGCTTATGTAATGTTAAACAAAGTTTTGCTTTTGACATTATCCCTAAACGACGCCGTTGATCAAGGCCATATGGTTCTCTGATCCTTCACGTAGTAGCTCTTTGTTTTTTGGAAAATAAGAAAAAAGTTTTATAACCTGACCCAACTTAGTTTGATATTAATTATTTCGTATTTTTTCTGACTTAAATTCTAGAATTAGAATTCGGATCTCTTGAATGATCTTTAATGTTACTAGAGGTTAATCCGGGCTACGCCCGGGTATGAGTATTAGTATTTTCAATCTATATCTCTTGCATATTTTTTTTCCAATTGTTATTCTCCTTTTTAAAAAAATCTATATAGCATTTTTTATGTGATTTTCCACTATATTGGTAAGGATAGTAATATGTACATGAGAAATTGAGATGATTTTAACAAAATGCATGGTAGCTTGTTAGTATTGTTTTTAAAGCTGATTGGCTGTTTATTTTAACAAAATGCATCTTATACTTGTAGGCTACGTTTATCAACTGGTACTGGTAAGATTTGATGCAATGTGGTGAACAAAAGTTTAAACATTAAAAAGTACTTAATTCTTTTCCTTGTTAAAATAATTCAAAATATTATAGTGAAGTATCAACATCTCTTACTAATATAAGGCAACGTGAAAGAAGATGATAAGGAAGACGAAGATTCCATGTTTTGTGGAAAACTCACAACACCAGTTTGCTCGACAATGTCGGTGAACTTTTCTTAAGCAGTTTTGTTCTATTCCTCCATGGACCATGATTGTAGCAATGAGAATGGTACTTTTTTTTTTAATTGCTTGAACTCTTTTAGCATGGTTTCGAGAGGTCGGTCACTGATGAGTTCTATGTTCTGCCATCCAATTACATCTGTTTTGGCTGACCCATTGGATCCGGTTCGTAGCTGGGAATATCGAGGTGTGATGTTGATAACTTTGGCTGCACCTAATGATACCTAAATCATCAAATCACCGATTCAGATTTCAAAGAGACAAAGAGATTACATGTTCAAGTGCTTCTACAATGCAGACCACTAAATGAAGAAGAGCATAATCAAATGTGATATCTTGTAATGAACAAAGAAGAGGAAGTTACAGACTTGTAAGCTCAAGATGACTCTTCAACATCTTCTGAGGATAAGCAGAAGCAGCCGATTTTTTTTTTAACTTTGGCTCCATCTACTGATACCTAAATCATCAAATAACAGATTCAGACCAAACTTAATCATCATCATCATCATACACAAACACACCCAAATCCTCTGTACAATGATTAGCAGAATCAAGAACTGAAAAGCCTATTGATTACTTTTGAAATCATAGTTCAAATTCCATATAGTCAACACTCAACACAGAACTATTCAATCTTCCTCTATTGTGATTCAAAAAGTAGATATTGGATAGATTTTGTTTCAACCTGTGATTACCCTGTGATTACTCTATGAGCTTCTCTTTAGGGAATCATTTGGATGAAAGTGCTTCGAGGGAATCTGTTCTTCATGAAAAAATATGTGACTGAAAGAGGAAGAGAACCTCAATCTATTTAATTACTTAGATCGATATATTGATAAAGCAATCAATTAGTTTGATACAGAGAAGTTAATACATGTTGAGGTGGGGAGGGAGAAGAAACGGTTCAGTTTTCTAAGCCTAATTACAAAGTTTGCATTTAGGGACTGAGGTTACTGCTCACGTGTTCAAATCCAGGTTGAGACTTATAGGATGACGTGGAAGTTTTCTTCTAAAATTAAGTGTGCTGAGGTGGCTACCTCTTAGATGATTTCATTGTGCTGATGTGGATGGCTCTAGAGGCCTCAATTAGCATCTTTTATTAGTAAGAGATTCATTTTAAGACTATAGTATGTGTGGGTATTAAAGTTTGTGGATTGTGTCCACACCGTTTATACAATATATGAGGGATTGGGATATTTATTTTGAAAGAGAGAAAAATGATTCTACTAAATTAAGTTTGCAATCATACAGACCGACCCATAAATTTAATTTTTGAGTTGTTAGTATTTTTATTTATATTATCATATTACAAATTTATCATACTCTAGATGGCTAGGTGAAGAACATATATTTGATATTATTTTATGTAGATATGATTTTTTTTTGTCACATGTAGAAATGATTTAAATTTCAATATGATACGGACATACGATACATACGGATATACAAACTCATAGGTTTTGTTTTCACCTATAAATAAATTTAGTGGACTTTGTTGTTATGTAATGTTTTGACCAATTTTCTCACTTTATTTGGATTTACCCTCTAAGATAGAAAAGTGAAGTCATCTCTTAGTTCCTTCACTTTTTGCAAAGTATGTTCAAAGCAATTATTAAATCACGCTAGTGCAAAAACGATTCGGATCGATAATGCATCTCAAACACACTTCTTTTTCAAGCTAATCTACCATGCATATTTTTGATAACAACTCTTTGCACGAGTGTTCATATTTGATCTTTTCTTTTTGATATTTTTTTTTCTCAAATTTATGTTCCATTTTATACATACTGTACTTTCATAAAAGTATATATAATTTTTTCTGCGAATGCATGTATTCAATATTATACATAAGAAAATCTACTCTTCAAAATAATTGTTTTTTTCAAAGGTTCGTGTATAAATTGTTTTCTAGATGTTTTGAGTTTTGATCTCATAGTTACTTTTTAGATATCATTTAAAATTATACTTAAGGAACATTGAGCTTATATATATGTGTCTAACTAAAATTAAGTTACAATGAAACCCGATATCAAGTGCTTACTTTTTCTAATATGAATTAATCTGTGACTACAACTATTTTATGATGTAATTAGTAACTTACTCAAGGGTTGCAATGTGATAGAATGAGAATGATTGTGTAGTTCTGAATTAAATGATGGTTCCTTTGTGGGACACTACCCAAAACCCTCACAAGTGGATAGGGGACCTTTCAATAAAAATGTTTGTACATTGTAGGGTTTGCTGTCGATGTTCCCAATTCATTTCACAATTGTCTTTAATGTTCCTATCCATTTGAGTCTTGTTTTAGCAGCCTTAATGTTCATACCCATTTGCCCAAGATATTAACTCTTTCATGTCGACTTCCTAAGAAATTCAAATCACCTAGACTAAACCGAAATCACAAAACGAAGTCGATTGAGATCATCAACATAACCTTTTATCTGTTTTCAGCCTGCCCAAGCGCCATGCAATTTTCATTTTTCCTTCTTTTTTTTTTAATAAACAACATGTGAGTTTGAATATAAGTAGTGACGCAACAACGACACTAACACAAACTATTAGGTTACATATCCTAGTCACTGAACTTTTTGTTTCAACTTGTGAAAATATGCCCATCATAGAGACCCATTCATCTTACTGGATATTGGTAATTGATGCTGACATTTGGTATTGTTAAAAGAAATCATATATAATGTTGTTGTTATCATTACAAAGGCAAGCTTTGTTCATCATCCTTTTACCCCAAAGCTTCTTCTCCCTTTTTGGTTTCTCGAATTCTTAATCAGGCCAATTTTATCCTCTTCTTATTAAATTATAAATGGGGGCCATATATATGTCTAAATTAATAATATTTAAGTTTGTAAAAAAGTCTTAAACCACTCCAATGCTACAAAAAACAAAAAAAGCAAGTAGGAGAATAGACTCATGGGATCGAATTGATTTCGACGTACCTTCTTATCACATGCAGCCACATGACATTTCTATTTTGTTTCTCAAGTTTTACGAACCCAATAGCATTGACCTCTCAATTTAATGTAATCTCTCTTCACTGCATCTATACCAATTGAATACACTTTGAATGTATATTCACTAAGTTCATTATGATTTTATAATGTCAAATATATAAATACCAAATCATCCTTCTCTTAACTAGGTCAACGGCTTGTAGAAAAACTTGACTTGGCCACATAATCACGTAATTAAGAACTTTCCTAGCAATGAACTACTCTAAGTCTCTAAGAACACGGCGACGTTTTGAACAAGAGATGGCATATTGATTTAATAATAAGTATGGGAAAACGTTTTCTTTTTTGATAAAAAAAAAAAAAAACAAGAGTACATGTATTTGTCAGAGACTTGTATCCCTATAGTTTGTAATAATACTGATGCTGTTTTATGAGTTTAAAAACTTTAAATCCAAAAATGTGTTGTGAATTATATACCACCAAAAAATAGTATATAATAATAAGTTTAAAATTCTAATTTCTTATGTTTGACTGAATTGAGATGAAAAGAAATTAAATAGTGACACATTTCATGTTAATTAGTCTATCAATTTTTTTGCATAGACTTTCGAGGTCAATTGGCCTTGATTTGCTTTATATATCACTATATGTGAATATGAATAGTTTGCTGTCAGCAATATGATTACACTCAAGAACTTTTTCCTATATGTGGCCAATTTCAAAACAAAAAGAAATACCTTATTATTGCACAAATTAGAATCTTAGTTTATTATAAAATTCAGATCGAACACAAGTTGAAAACATTTGATTTAAAAATCAGAAAGCTCCAAAAGCAAGATACCTATTATCGGATCTCCATATGTTAGGCTGTCTTTATAAACTTTCACTTTATTATTTTATAATAACACAAAATCATTATTTCTTCTCCCTAAACCAATAACGAGCGCATATAAAATGTTTTGATAATTAGTTTTATTAAATTAGTAAGGGATAGAGATGGTCATCATTCTTAATTATTAAAGAACCCTCATGTTTCCATCAAAATGTTCAGGATATAATTACTAAATTCACAAAATGGTTGTCAGTGATTAGTTTCATCATATTGTTTGGGATCAAAAATTTATTCCAACTGAATGCATATATAATCATTTTGTAAGTTTATACGGTAGTAGGTTGATATCAGTGTTAACAATACGGTATTAAAAGAGAAAAAGAAAAAAAAAAGAACATGCAAATGTTGATCCACTACAAGATAACATGTGTTTTGCGATGGAAGCAGTCATCGTAAATCCCTCGCAAATCGCGTATAGAAAGGGATTTGCGAACGAGTAAATGTAAAAAATTTTGCAATACATTTTTGCGGGTTCATCAAGTGGTTTTCACTAATTTTCTATAGTGGATACAAAATATTTTGCGAACTTGGTAATTCCAAAAATCAGGCTATATAAACATATTAGACACCTTTTATAATTTTTTTATAATGTAATTTATGCTCGACAAGAGACATCTTGTGATAACATAATTTTTCTAGGTTGATGGATTTAAAAATGTCCACAGTCCACACCCAAATGTCACGACAAACCAAGCAACCGTGTTCCTTTCTATTTTTTTATTGGCTTACTTTGTTTCTTTTATAGGTATCATATATGATTATAAAATAGTTCTAACGTGTTAATACGAGTTGGATTTTGATGGTGTTCGCATAATTTATTTATAGGTTACGATTAAGAATTTCATCTTTATATTATATTGAGATGCCAAATTGACTTTGGTAAGCCAATTTCGACGAATGTACATAGGCCTGGGAATTAAAATTTTGGATAGGATTCGGTTCGGACTTTGGATGGATCGGATTTTTGGATTCGGATAATTTAGGCAGGAAAGTTTATTATTTATTTGGATTTTCTAACTATTCCGTTTGGTTTCGGTTTGGATATGTGTTGGATTCAGATCGGTTTTTGGGAAAACCAAAACTAAAAATTTGTTCAATTTTAATAAAAACTGGTTTCATCTTACTAAAATTTGGTTAAATTATGAAAAATGTATAGTTTTAACAAATTTTTGTCCAAAAAAAAAGAATTATAGTTTTAACAAATATAACTTTTTTGGATATCTAGGTTATTTCGGATATTTTTGTTATTTGGTATGTTTAAATATAAAATTTTATTTTGAGTTTTCGGATATACTTTCGATTTTCAGGTCGGATCGGATTCGGTTCGGATAATTCAGCTTGGAGAATTTATTATCCGTTCGGATTTTGACTATCCGGTTCAGTTTCGGAACCGGATTTATTGGATCGGTATTTGGATTTCAGGTTTTATGCCCAACCCTAAATGCACATATTAAATTAGATCAATATTTGAATTTAATTAACAGTTTCACAAATTAGAGAGACCAATTTTTAATATTTGTTATCTTCCTATTTAAAAGAAAATTAATGTACTTCAACTATTTCCTTTTCCATACTAAAACTTCTACGCTATCAAAAACCGGATCGCATACAGAACCCCATATGCTCTGCTGCTACGTGGAGACTTACATATTTAACTAATTTTTGAACTAAGCTAAGCTATATCAAGCGCCTTAACCGCTTAAGAAACAGATTTGTCAGCCTTATCCAATGCAAAGGCTTCCTGAAATATCATAATTTTTGAACTAGGATCCTAATTAGTTTTGCCCAGACTATGTAAAGTACCTTTAAAATGGCTAAAATATATAAGTTTTCAAACATGGTACCAAAACTACTTTAGTTTAGCTTTAATGAAACTGAAAACTAAACATACATTTGCGAGAACAGGATAAACTACGTACTTACATGTCTTCAAGTTCCTCCTCGAGCTCTAGCTAAATAACAAATACATGCGGCCGCGGAATTTCGTAGCATTCAATTTTTTCAGTGAGTTTACATCACCCTTGCACTAAAAAAATATGACATGCTAAAAAAGTTTTAACTCAATTATCATATAGTTAATAAAAGTTCCATCATTCATTAAAAATATACACACTTATTACGTTTTGTTTAGATAATCATATAGACCTTCAAGTCTCTTTAACAACTCATCATATCTATAACACACAACTCCTCGGCATTAACCTTTTAGGTAGATTGGCAAAATTATAAAGAGGATTTGAGACCATATCTCTTTTCACATCCTATATTCCAACCTACATCATAAATTAAGTGTTATAACATTGTCAAGAGAAACAAAACCAAATTCCAAAAAGGTTACCGGAGTTTGGCTGCAGGTAGCAATGAACCACAAAAAATGTATAGAAAGAAAGGGAAATATGAGATTTTCATATTCTTTTGAACTTATTTCTACTCTCGAAAAAATGAAGTGTACCTTCGTCTTTGTGGACTCGGTCACACATATACTACCGTGTCACAAATTCACAATAATCATGCACTTGCGGCTTTGTAGATTGTGTTAAACCAGATCATATCAAATTTTGGTGCTACTTATGGGGATCAATCTCGTCATTTTTGGATTTAAGACTAAATTTATTTGAAGACGCTACTATTTTTTTTTTTCAGTCTTTAAGTTAACGTTGACAATATGAGTGACCTAATTACTATAATCGAGTTGAATATCATCTCATCTCGGACATCACTAGAAGAGATGGAGCTTACTTTCGATGACATAATGTATTTCAAGAACTTACGAAGGTAAATATATTGGGTTTTTTTTTTTTTTTTGTTAAGTTTGGTTTGCCCCCAAGTTTATTTTCTTAATTTTGTTGTCATTAATCTCTCGTTCCTTCAATTTTTAAGGCATACTGTTTAGTTTTTAATTTAAGATTTGTTAGTGTTTCTTTTGAAATTTTGTTCCCTCTAGATTTGGTAACCAATCAAATTAAAAAGTTTGTTTTTTAACTTATTATTATTCTTATTATTATTAATGTTTAGGTGATAAACGAAAAGTAATATATTGGGTTTGACCTTGGTAACTAGAAGATACATGCAACTCAACCTTTGAGATTCATGCATTTCATGGTGGGGAATTTAACATTTTTATCTTTGTTTATTTGTTTTTAGGTACTTTGATGGCTAGGGATGGGAATGGAAGATCAAATAAATGCGACTATCTCTTCAGAAAGGATTGGATTGATCGATCCATTTCCCATGTACCATTTGTTTTGTTTTTTTTAGCTTTTAGTTTTCCAAATGTTACATTTTTGGTGGTTTTTTTGTCTTTTTTCTGCATGCGTTTTGATGTGTATTATTGAGTCAGTCTAGTTAAGAAATTGTGATATTTTCGTAGGGGATTAAACTTTTCTTGAACTTGGAGAAAATATAGGCGAAAACTCTTCTTTATCATTTTAAGGATTGATAATAAAAGAAAATCGAACTTCGAGAAAATTTAGGCGAATACGAAAAAATAAACGAAATTCCAACATTTAGCGGTTAAGAGCACTTGTACAACCGGCTCACACATCCTCTCTTAGATTGGTACCACTCGCAACAAACCAGTATCAATCTTTTTTTATTAGCTTCCTAGACTACTACCAATGGTGGCTCATCCATACCGGTCAAAGATATCGATCCATACCTCGAGTTCCTTGACATCTGTCGGCTTTGTTTTCAGTACTTTTTTAGATCCGATGTTCTAAGTCCAATTATACTCAATGAATCCGATGTTCTAAGTCCAATTATATCCTAGTTTACAATTTTTTTTTTTGTTTATATAAAACTTTACTGTTTTGCTTTTTTAAATCTATTGGGGCACATTATTCCAGTGCACTCTATTGTAGGAGAAGAGACTTAATCTCGGGTGAAGTGGTGCTTATGAACGCCACTAGACCACAGTCACTTCTCTATTATCTTGCTTTTAAAATGCATGTGTTTATAACAAAAGAAACATGAACCGTATATAGATAATTGCACCTTGGATCCAACCAATTCAAACATACTTCCAAATAGATTGGATATCTGATTTTTTGGAGTCAATTGGATCAGATTTAACATATCACAAACATTAACTTGTTCATAATATAATATCAAACAGAAAACAAAAAATCATAAACTAAATTTGCTCTGATGTTTTCTAAGAGATTAACTCTAATTTATTATAATTTTTTATATATTCTTGACAAATCAAATATGTAATCCTGATCCAAAATTTTGTTAGTAGGTTCTGGACGCCTAAAATATCTGATTTTTCGAAACGTATCGAGGATATTTTTAAATTCAATTTACATATATGTAAGTCTTTATTTTTTATTGTTCGCAACAAACCTTGTAGTGATTATTGGTTGTAATTTTAGCTGCCTGAAACTTTTTTTTTTTTTTTTCGGTTATAAATTGTAACTCTCCTTGACCGATATCTGGACCTGGAAGAGATAAAATAAAAACGTATTAGTAATTACGAACATTACTTAACCTTCCTTTAATTATGACGGTTTCTTAAACTATACATAGTTCAATAAAAAATCCTCAATAATTATAACGACGATATTATGTCTATATATTAACTGATAGAGTTGCTTTGACCATCATTATAAAATAATTTCTCTAATTGTAAATTCAAACATTTCTCAGTCCTAAAATTCTCTTATAAAACTATAGAAACTTTACAAATTTATTTTAAACAATTAAAGTTAATCTAAAAGTCATATTTGACTAACACGAAATTTCAATTCCTTTTTGAAATATTTATTAATTTAAGAAAAAAATTAAAGTCATAGAATTCATAAGTTGTACCATAAAACTTTTAAAATTAGTTAGCATACAACTACAATAAAAAAAAATATATCAAAATCAAATTTGTGTCCCCTAGACAATGAAAGATCAAAACTACTTAAATTCGACTCCTTTCACCTCCACTCTCTTCTTAGCACACACATAGAGACTCTAATCCATTTCTCTCTCTCTCAATAAAGAAAAAAAAAAGAGAGAATAAGAGGAGAAATAAAAAGAAAGCAACCTAAATCCTTAACCTACAAAAACCCAGATTTGTTACTCTCTCATTCTTCTTCTTCTTCTTCTTCTTCTTCTTCTCAACATTTGATCTTTTGATTCTCAAAGTAAAAAAACAAAACACACTTTGTTGTCTCAAGAACCAAACAAACAAAACCCATCTTGGGAAAATCTCATTTCTTTCCCAAGAAAATATCTCTTTTTTTTTTTTGTTACAATTTTCCCAAAAAAGATGAGAGATTTGGTGTCATGTTTCAGCGAGAACTCAATAAACGTGACACATCCATTATCAATATCATCTTCATCATCATCATGTTCAAAATACAGTACCAACAATGTTTGTATCTCACCATCTCTATTACCATCAACACAAACCTCCATTACAAGCATCTACAGAATCACTTTATCGAAACATCTCATCATCAAAGTCACATGGTGCAATCCACACAACAACAATGGCTTAAGCATCTCTGTTTCTTCCGCAGATCAAAACCCTTCAACAACTCTCAAACTCAACACTTGTTCTCGTTTCTTCCGTAAGAAGAAAGGTAACAAATCAGTCGACTCCGATCTCGGTAAAATCGAGGTTTTTTGGGATCTTTCTTCTGCTAAATACGATTCAAACTTGTCTGGTCCTGAACCTATCAATGGCTTCTACGTTATCGTTCTCGTTGATGCTCAATTGGGTCTTCTTCTTGGAGATTCATCTGAAGAAACCCTCCGTAAAAAGGGTTTCTCCGGCGATATCGGTTTCGATTTCTCTCTTGTTTCTCGACAAGAACATTTCACAGGGAACAACACTTTTTACTCAACTAAAGCTAGATTCGTTGAAACAGGAGATTCACATGAAATCGTCATAAGATGTAATAAAGAAACAGAGGGTCTAAAACAGAGCACTCATTACCCTGTTCTCTCTGTTTGTATTGATAAGAAGACGGTGATAAAAGTGAAGAGGCTTCAATGGAACTTTAGAGGGAATCAGACGATTTTCTTGGATGGATTGCTAGTGGATCTAATGTGGGATGTTCATGATTGGTTCTTTAGTAATCAAGGAGCTTGTGGAAGAGCTGTGTTCATGTTTAGGACAAGGAATGGTTTAGACAGTAGCAGGCTTTGGTTAGAAGAGAAGATGGTTAAGAAAGATGAACAAGACAAGCTTGACTTCTCTCTCTTCATTTACGCCTGTAAGACTTGAAAAACAAAAAAAAAAACAAAAAAACTCAATTTTTTTTTTATTTTGAGATTTACAAGAAAAGGTTATTGATTGATTGATTCTGTTTTTAATATTTGAGAAATTTTTATGGGTTTGGGGGTTTTTTTTTTTTTGAACTTACAATTTCTTCTTGGGAGGAGTATAGATTTGATTTCTTATTACATTCTTTTTTTTTTTTGGAGTTGTGATTTAGTATTGAGAGATTCTAAAAATGTGAATTTCTTCATAGGAGTTGTTGTTTTTTTTTAATTTGGTTTTCTTATTGATTCAAGAACATTGCCGAATCTTAAATTGAAAGTCATTTGTTGGGAAAATATTTGTCTCTATGACTCTCTTTATTGGCAACATTATGATCTTTATTACTATGTAGGCTCATCTACAGTTATACGTTTTTTTCTTTCATAAATGTTGAAGTAATTGATGATTTATGGTTAAGGAAGAAGAATTGAAGAGTGTGAAATAAGAATATATTGGGGCATATGTGCACGCCTATAAAGATATGCATGGAGCCTCTTTAAAGTACAAAAGTTAAAAGGTCTAGAATCTACTCATGCTAATTTGTTTTTACTATTAATCTAACAAAATTTATGAATGAAGTAAAATACTTTTGTTTTCTTTGGTCAGAAACTTAGAATATCAGTATATGAAAGTTTAAGGCATAGTTTATTATGTTTTCAAGTTCCAACTCTGGTTAGGTTATTTTGGTTAGGAAAGTATTAGGTGATTAAATCTCATTCAACCAATTTTCTTCTGGTTTTAGATGACCACATTATAAATTAGAGTATTTCTTTACATTTTTTGTTAAAATTGTTGTAAAAATTAAAGTCAAGTAATGGCTAATTTTTAGCTAAGTTGTTTCGGTTAGGAGAGATTTAGGTGGTGACATTCCATTCAAGCAAAGATTTTTTCTTGTTTGGTTGATTTAATTTGGAGAGTTTTAGGTGAGTAGACTGCAAATTGTTCAAGCTTTAGTTTTAGATTTTGATTATAGTCAGTGAAAACTTATGTTTTCATATATGTTTGAGCTTTGATAAAATTAGATTTGATTATGTACTACTACAGAAATTTAGTATTAAAATGATTATTGCATGTAAATCTTATATGATTAAGATTAACTATGTCTATGTTACTCTGTATTATAATATTTCTAAGGAAAATTAGTATATTTTAATGCAATAGTATACAAAATAAACGATTCGGTCAACATAACATTACAATATAATTAAAATACTGCTCGAAGTCATTAAAAACCAATTCAGAATTCCAGTGCCTGACAAATTTACCATTTTTGACTTATAATAGAAATTTGACTATATTAAGCCCATGAACAAATCTCAAGAGAGAGATATCAATAGCACGTTTTCACGCAACACCATAACGAAACTTTTTAAAAAATCATGTAGCATACAAAATGTGATATGTGCACTATGGAACGTGTTTGGCTTGTGTTTGAAGTTCCAAGTTCCAAGTTCAGATGCTTATGGACGCGCATGAATGGTGTTCATTAGTAATAGGTAAGGACTAGTTTTAATAACTTAGGTATCACCTAAGTAGTAGTAAAGACAAGTTCCAAATTATAATGAACATATTACACTATCCTTTTTAAATTGTATTTCCTAGTTCTAAAAAGTTGTATGTTCATTTCTTTTACCACAATTTCAACATAAAGAAAATTTTGAGATTTGCTTGTCATCTAGAGTGACATTCCTTATCATAATACTTGCATTCTTCTTACTCATTTGCTTTAATCTATTGTGACACGTCATATTGTTTCTTTATGTGTAACACTTAAAGTATTTACAAGGTCTCATATTATATTTCCTTCAACTGTTCAACAATGTATATACTCCCTCCGTTTCAAAATGTAAAACGTTTTGAGGTATTATTTTTGTTTCAAAATGTAAGACGTTTTCAACTTTCTATGCAAATTATATATTAATTTAATATATTTTTATTATTTATATTATGCAGTCTCATTCATGATCGGTTGAACATTTTTAAAAGTGGATATTTCTTAATCTGCGTGCTTTTAACTAAAACGTCTTATATTTTGAAACGGATGGAGTATTATTTTACCAATTCTATTTAGTAGTCTTTTACACTCTTATTGATATTATGAAAAAGTTTAAGTCATTTATCATGAATTTCCAAAATCTCCACATATATTGGATTTTCCCTATATTAGGGACATACTTTACATTATATTTGTGACAATAATTTTCAAACAGCGGTGATTAGTGAACTTCACCTTACAAATCCATTTGATTGAAGAGAAAATGTTCTTAGTCATCATCGCTTTTACACCCTCGAATGATTCAAGCTTTATGAACCAATCTTTATTGGAGCAATGTGATGTGTACATCTAAGTGTGATACTAGTTCTATTTGGAAAATCTTGAGCTTGTGGAATTATTAGGTTCTCATTCTTGAACCCTTGCCAATCCAACATGTTCTTCTTTTAACTTGAATTTATATCATTTCGATATTTTTGTTTTGTTATGTGGACAATCTATCTTTAAATGATCGAAGGATTGACATATTCAACAAACTCGTTTTGATGTCTTTATCCTTGTTATTATTTTTACTTTGAGAACCATATGAGTTCTTTTTGTAATGCGGTCTTTTTTATTTTTAAAAAAATATAAAATTTCTTCGGAAAAAAACTTTTTTTTACAACAATTGCAGCATTTGTTTAAGCGTTTTTAACATACAATTAAAAAAAAAAATTAGAAACAACCTTCTTTCTTACCTTGATACAAGACAAACCGCTATACAACCTTCGTATCTTCTATCCTTTTGCTTTCGTATTGAAGATATCATGTTTTGAACTTGCTTATCTAGTCTTCATATTGTCACAAAAGTTGCTAGAACTTGTTCTTCCAGATTTGTTTTGGTGAATTAGACCACTTTTGGAGTATACTCCAATTGTCACTTAAGTTAAGCCATCTCGAGCATACTCTAAGGTGTCATTGATCTTATCATATTGTTTTGGTAGAGAGTTTAGAAAGTGAATGGCTTGGTCCTTTCTTCAGAGATCTTAATATAAAATGCATTTAGTTTGTAACTATTTAACTAAACATCCAAATTTTCATATATTTGACTTTCCTCAATTCCTCTTAAAGTTATAAAAATGTTATTTAAAATAGATTTTATTCGGTAAATATTTCGATAAGTAGAACTTTTTAAAAGTTTTCCAGTTTCAAGAGTAGTTGGTTAAGCGGAGCATTAAGAGATTCATATTCAAAACCTCCACCGCATCTTCTTGCTTAATCTTGGATCCATATGATATATTTTTTAGATTAGACTCAGTTGGCTCCACCAAAACATCTTTAAATCTCAAGACTTCAAACTAAGGCTATACACCAAAACCATAGCGTACTTCTCTAACAGTATCGTTCTCGTTCGTTAAACTGAACTCTCTAATCAGCCACTCTTAATCTAAACCAGTTTAATATTTTTGTATTTAGCTGAATTTACTTCTAATCGAAATCCTCCAACCGAAAACATAAGCTATCTCTTCCATTTTGTGAAACCAAAACTTCCCTCTCACCTAAAGGTCTCTCCATACAAATCCAAACCTCACACTTAATAATCTCCTTAAGAATATCCTCCTAATTAAACATTCTATTTTCTTTCTTTATTTTAATTAATAATAAAAATAAACTGAAAAGGGAAGGGTGATACATGTGCCACACAGTGTCTGTATTGCTTTCACTCCCTTCATTAGTGGTCCCTTATTGTCTTACAATTTAATTTTCGAATCAAAATCTATCAGCCCTCTCCCCTACTAGTACTTGTATACTCATCCAACAAGTACTCTTTTGCTCTGCAAATATTTATTTCTCCATATACTCCAAACTTCAATGCCAAAGAATCAAAACAATTATCTTCAGTCAAATGATCTCTTACAAAAATGACAATGTCATGTCATAACCCTAGTAATTATTTTATAATTTGATCTCGTAGAGTAACAACTTCCATTCAAATTAAATTGTTTATTAACAATTTTAATATGAAATAAAAAAAAGATAGAAAAAGATTAAAAAGATGAAGAAAGAATAAGTAACGGTATCTCAGAACAAGAGTAGCATTAAATTTGCTTAGGCTCGTCACATGGCCCTGCATGTGTCCTTTGTAAATGTTAATGTACCCCATATATATAGGCACACAACCATGTCTTTTATATTTATCCTTTAATTTTTCAAAAAAATTTTATAATGAAATGAGAACTTTCCTCGAATACAAATATACAATTATAATTATAGTAATTGGTACAATGCCAAAGTAACATTAATGTGACTATACAATTATTTATAAATAGTATATTAATTGGTACAATGCCAAAGTGACATTAATGTAACTATTGTTCAGAAGTGACATTTACGCTACATATCCCTCAATTCTCTTTTGAAAATCTTTGACATCATTTATTTTTCAGTCAGTTGGCCAACACAAATTTTACTAGAACTTTTTTTTGATAACTCAGGTGATCGTAAAGGATTTCTAGGCCCAAAGATTAATTCTGAAGTCCGGGGAAACCATGTTAGAATTTGAACTTCGGTGGTCAATTCTACTCAAACCCAGGTGGCGGAAACTTTTCTCTCCTTTACCACTAGACTCAGATGGCAATTTTATTAGAACTCTAGAAGTTATAAACCAAATATCGAGTTTACGCAAAGTAATACAACTAGTAATCTAATACTCCTTCCGTTTCAAAATATAAGGCGTTTTGGAGAAACTTTTTTGTTTCACAATATAAGTCTTTTTCAAATTTCTATGCAAATTATATATTACTTTAATATTTTATGATTATTTCTATTATGCAATCTCTTTTATGATTGGCTGAACTTTTAAAAAGTAGATCTTCTTAATCGTCGTGCTTTTAGCTAAAACGCCTTATATTTTGAAACGGAGGGAGTATTTGAAATTACACGAACATATAGATTTAAATCTGTCTTAAGAAAATATTATTCATGCTAGATATTAATGAATGCATCGATCTCATGGATTTCTTTATAACCAAAAAATTCTAAACCGTAATCCAAAATAATCTATGAAATTTGTGGAAAATTCGAGTTTTTTTATTTCTATTTGAAGGCTAACAGTAATCAATCATAATTAAAATCACAATAATGGAAAAATCTCTAACCTAGACCCACATCATAAATCTTCAACCACCAGAAAACAAGAAGTTGTTTAATCTTATAATATCTCACATTGATAGTCACCAATCGACTAGACACTGCAATTTTGAGACTGGTCTCAGTTTGGAGACAAAATAATTATATATGATACTTGGATACGAAATATCTCGAGATATATTAATCATAGGGAAAGTGTATAAAATCATGATGTTGGGTTTTACATTATAATCACTAGGACTCCGGACCCCCGCGATGTCGCGGGGGAAAATATTTCAAAAATCGTTAAAAAAATATCAAACGAAAATTAATAATAACTATGGTAGATGATTAAATGTTATAAC